TATATATATATATCTTTAAAATAAGTAAATACGAGTCGATTCTGTGTTGCATTTCTGCGGCAGGGTATATTTTGTTTCCTTTAAAGTGTAAAACAGCTAATATTGCTCACTGGCTTCCTTCGCTCATCGATCCAATTGGATACTTGCAAGCGACGTAATTGTGGGTATCGATTCTGATTGGCTGTTGAACATGGCGTTTGTTTATATTAGCAACTGTTAGTAAACTGTTATGTTAGCAACTTAGAGTAAGCCTAGTCCACCAGTTAGGAATTCGATAAGCGATCTCGTAATCAATTATTATAACAAGCGATAATCTCGTAACTAATAAATTCACATAAATTAATGAAACATGTAATTAATGCCTTGTAAAACAAAAGGAATGATCTAATAATTTCCCTTTATGAAGGAAAAGTCGACAATAAAACAAGCCTTAGAGTTTTAACGTTAACACGCAATCTTTTTTACAAACAACAAGCTGGTTCTTAGGTTGCATATTAGATCAAGTGGTTGTGCATTAGTGCTCTTCCTAGTCATCTGGAGTTGAAAGTATCCGAAAGTGTTCCACACGTTCTTGAGTATAAATTACTTTGTACTCATGAGTATCGGTCGGCGTCGTGGCGATGAGTTTTCGATATTTATTCGAATGAATTATAATGTCTTGAGGAAGGGTTAAGCTAAATTTTTATTTTAAAAAAATAGTAAAATACAAAACAAATCTGAATTTACAGATTATTATATTTAATTAATTTGAAATATTACGCAAGTTTTAAAAAACTTTGAAAATTTGGTAAATAAAAAACAAAAATCCTCTTCTTTTAAACTAAATCTATTCGTTCCTAACTTTTCAATTCTTCTCAACTTAAAGCTTAGTTTGTTTCAGCTTTTCATTGTCCAAGCTAGCAAAGAATTTCCATTCGGAAATTTGAAAACTTGTGCCTTTGCACTTCCATGCTTATGATAACACATACGCTTGGTATTTCAATTCTTTGTTGCCAAAGCAAAAAAGAAATGAGGATATTCTTTGATACCGTACAAAAGATATGGATTATAAGTAAAGTTTAATATTTAATTCATTGTTTAAAAGTATAAGAAAAAAACAGTGTTGCATTTCGATAATCTTTGACGTAATTAAAAATTCTATTTTTACTTATCACAACTACTTGTCAAGTTTTATTTTAATTTTAATTTGATTAAATTTTGTACATTTACAGCTTTCACTATCAGTTTATCAAGCCTAGACATCTGAATTTTCTCAGGAATGATACAACATCCATATTTAGAGCTGAAAGAGACATAGGTAAAAACATTTCTTGTTATTCAGTTCTGTTTTAATGTTCTAGATTTGTTTCTAGAGAATTTTACTTATTTCCCTTATTAAAAATTTTCATTAAAAATTTTGCTTGGATATTTAAGATATTTTTCTCATCTTGCAGTTTTTATATAAATATCAGCAATTTTTTGTAACTCAGTTTGAATGCTTTAGATTTGTTTTTCAGTTTGCGAATTTGCTTGAATGTTACTATTTTTCTTTCTTACAGCTTTGTTTGAACAACTAAGATACGTTTTTAAGGTAGAAGTTCTGTTTGATAGTTAGCAATTATTTGTTTTGAAACTTCGAAAATTTCAGTTTTGTTTTGTTATGCTGTAAATTTATTTCAAAATGGAATATTTTTTTAAAATTTTGTTTTAATATTAGTATTTTTTATTTTGAAAATTCGTTTGAGCATTCATATACATTTATTTTTCTCATTTTGAGATTTTATTTATTTGTTTGAATTTTTTTATTTTTGTTTACAAATTAGTTTAAAAATTTCCAAAGTTTTCTCATTTAATATTTTTTTAAATGCTAGTAATTTGATTTTTTTTGTTTGGTCGTTATGTTTAAATTTCGCTCACAAAACATTTGCAGTTTTGTTTGCACTTTATTTTGGAGCTTTCCTTGAAAAATCGATTTCTTTCCTTCAAAATTTTTTGTTTTGATCCTTTTCTACTGTACAATTAATTAGATTCTTTGTTTGCAATTTTATTGATTTATGTCATATTTTTTTTGCATTTCGTTTCAACATTTCCGATTTATTTTTCATTTTGCAATTTTAGTTGAATGTTCGTAGTTTTTTTTCTAATTTTGAAACTTAACTCGAACAATACTGATTGGTCTCCAAGTTTGCAATTTTGTTTAAATGGCGGTGATTTTTGTTATTTTGAAACTTAGTTAAATTATCCCATATTCATTTCACTTTTGTTATTTTGTTTGAGTTTTAGGGTTTGTTTTTGATAATTAAATTTTGCGTCAACATTCGAAATTTGTTTTTCATTTTACTATTTTGCTTAAATGTTACTATTTTTTTTAACTTTGCAAATTTGTTTGAACATTTCATTGACTTTTTTTGCTTTGCAAGGCTTTTTTTTGAACTTTAGTAATTTTTTTAATTGTCGAATTATCACTGAAAGTTTCATATTCATACTTTCAGATTCCTTCATCAGATTGATTTCGGATTCATCACCAGAAAGTTCCTTTTTCTCATCAGTAATTTCTTTCAAAATTCTTTCTTCTTTTTTTTTATAATTCACTTTAATGTAATAAATATTCTTTTTTTATTTTATAATTTAGTTTTAAGCATTTTAGTTTTTTGATTCCATTTCGTAATTTCATTTTTCATATTTTAATTTTCTCTGAATGTTAGTAGTTTATATTTCACTTAGCAATTTTGTTTGAACAGCCTTACTTATTTCATTTGAAGTTTTTTTTCTGAGCCAACATTAATTTATTTATGGTTTTTCGTGACAAAATAAAAAAGATCATTTTAAATTTTGTTCCATTTTTAGAAAAAAACAAAATAAATCAAGGGTGACGTTTGTGATTTCCTAAAATGTGATTCCCAATGATAGGAAAGAAGATTACCTGGTAGATATAAAATGTCTTTTCAAATTAGATTTCACTTTTTGTTTTTAACCTTGAGGCTAAAGGATACAGAATTTAGATTCTCTTTTCATGCCAAGTCCGAAATTTACTTTTTTTCCAACGGTATTTGTCTGAAGAAAAATCGATTTCCCTCTTGCTATTCTCAAAGATTTCTATTCACTTCCACAGCTTAAAAAAGCGTTTTATGGCTGTTTTCTTATTTATGCTTTACTGGGAACAATATTTCTGCACATCAACATTTAATATTTTTCCCGGAACTTTTCGAAAAATGCATATTTTATTTACAAACATTTATTACAAAATAATACTAAAAATAGTTTTCTACTTCGAATAATATTTAACGCAACAAATGAGTAAAATCTGGCACATTTTTATTTATTTTAAATGCTTCAATTTTTAACTCTGGGTAGGTTTGTTTGTTACTTATAACATTAAATATGTAAAAAATGATTAAAAAAAAGTAAGTGATATATTCTTTTAAAGAAAAATAATAATAAACGTGCTTAATTTTGTGATTAAACATTAAGTGAAAACACTTTGAAATTGAATGCATTTAATCCTTGCTTTTTAGAGATAAAAGAGTTTCAAATGGAAATAAATATACTCTGTCTAATCCACTTCTGAATCCTTAATGAAAATCTACTACAATTATCGATGTCCTCATTTAAATTTTGATTTGTTTATTATAAATTTTCATTGCTTTTTTATTTCTTTATACAACATAAAAATATAAGAGTTTCATACAGTTTTCCATTGCTGTTGGTGCATTTTTATTGGCTGAAACTGCTATTATTACGATTTTGATTAAGAACCAGAATTAAGAACTAAAGGAGTTTTTCTTTTTATTAAAACGTAAATCTATGACATTATCTTATCATGCTAAATTTTAAAATAAACTTGTTTAAATTCGAGTCTAATTTCACTAAACGTTTTACAATTATTATTTTTCGATGCAAATTACATTAATATACTATACTAAATTACAATTGCAGGAATTCGTTAAGGAAATAAGAATTTAATGATCATATTCATGCGCAATAAGATGCGCACATAAATTGTATTTAATATACCAGCCTGTTTGGTAAGCAAAAATATTAAATTACTGTTGCGAACTCACCAAATATGCTGTAACATTATACCTTCAATTTTTGAATGTTATTTTAAAAAAATGACTTCCTACCAAAATTATTTATAATCACCCATAGATCATAATAGAATCATTATGGAAATGTTTGGACGTAGGAATAATGGGTACCCCAGTATCAGTTCTTCCTACGTCCCCCCATCTATCTCACTAATAATTTGAGAGGGATAGAGCACTAGTCTCCCAATGATGTGACCCAGGTTTGAATCCCTGATACGCCAGGTTCCGGATTCTGCATCCGGATCGCACCGACCACAGTGTTGACGTAAAGTATCCAGTGGTAGACGGATTATGGGTTAGAATCCCCTTGCCGTCAGGTTAACCGTGGGAGGCTCTCGTGGTCTTTCTCTCCATGTAACGCAAATGCTGGTTATTCTATCCAAAAGTCCTCCAAGAAGGCAAATTTTTCCCAATACTTGATTTAGGAGTTCTCTTGTCTTCAGGATTGGGTTCAAAATTATAAGGCTTCGTAGAACATTAGTAGTCGTAAACCCAAAAATTGTGTCGACGGTTATAAAATTATTTCGAAGCATCGGGGTTGGAGAGTGGCAGCAAACAGGGAGCTTAACCTAATAGTTTATTATAATTTTAAAAATGTTTTGTGAGATCTGATCAAATTAAAAAAAAAATCAAGTTCAATAAAACTGCCTATATTATAGCCATGTCGATATTGATTCTTTTTTTTTCATTTTATTCTAGCCCATTTCACCTTGAGCACCTTTGGCGTGATTGATACTGATTACAATAATTACGCTGTTGTTTGGGGATGTGATCCCGTACTCTTTGGAAGTATCCAAAATGTGGACATTCTCTCTCGCACACCAACCCCTCAGACAAATTTGATAAAATCTGTTAAGGAAACACTCAAGAACTTATCAATAGATTATCATCCAATGGACAACGTTGATCAAACAAGATGTGAGGATTCTAATTCAAATTCGGATGGATCTTCTACCGATGGCGATAGAAACACAAACAATATTATTGCTGGATAAATGAAATCATTGTCTAGAGCAGAAAATATTTTCAAAAAATGCATTCTTTTTTTGATGTAAATATACTAAAAAGTTTTTTGTACGTGAATTCCAAGCCATATATAATTTTTTTATAATTCATTCTTCATTTGTAATTTTTTATTATTAAAATTTCATATAAGAGACCAATTTATTTTTCTTTCAAAACACTAGTAGTTGTCTAATATTTTTTTAGTTAAGTTTCCTTTTAATGTTATTTTTATATTAGGCATATCCAAATTGTGATTAAAACTTAGTCACCTTAGTCTAACTTAGTTAAAAACCCTTGAAGCAAAAATTTTCAATCTTCTAAGCAATAATTTTTCAAATTCGTAGTTATTATGCAACTATTTAGATCTAAGAGAAATAATTATTAATCATTAAAATTTCTTTAATTTACAAAAACAATCACTGATAAATTTTTGAAAATGAATGGAAAAAAAAATCTTTACTTTTTGTGGATTTTATATTTTAGTATAGCCGATCAGGTGGCCGAGTGGTAAGCGTGCCTGACTGCGGAGCCGATAGTTGCGGGTTCGAATCCCGCTCAGGGCATGGATGTTTTTTTCTCTCTCTCCGTGTTCTATGTCCTTTCTCCTTTGTGTGCGTGATTGTGTGAATATAACCCACCCTATAAACGGGTTTGTGGTTGTGTGACGTGGGCGACGCTGCTCCACCGCCGTGGCTTCGCCGCAGTTGCCCACTGGGTAACGAGAAGAGTGTAGCAGTTCTGGCATTTCTGTGGCCAATGGGACAAACCCCAAGTGCACGCCATTAAAAAAATATTTTAGTATGAATATATTTCCTATAATCTAAAAGAATTTTCTTTTCTAGTAACTATTAGACTGTTTTTCATAATTAAAAAAATAAAAAAAGTGTCTTTTTGCTTGTAATTAGAGCGTCAGAAAAAATATGGATAAAAAAGACTCCGTTGACCTATCTGTGTCAAAAGGTTAATCTGCTATATAACATTTAGTAAAAATGTCAAGTAGGCTATACATTTATAATCATTATAACTTCATATAAATTATAATTACATTGAAATTATTAGGAATGACTTTCAACAATTGTTTTCACGTTGCTTACTGTTGCATAAATAAAATTATTCAAAATTTAGAATTATTAATTTGAACAGTGGAACCAATGCACCAAGCCACCAATTCATATTAGCTTTAATGACGTTCCCATCATTACCTGAAGGTACTTAAAAGGATGTCGTTGAGACGTAATTATAGTGTCGAACCTTTCCGTTTAATGTTCGTTTCTCTAATATTTCTTCGATAATGCTCATGGGAATTTTAATAGCCTATCATTAAGAATGTCTTATGAAAGTGTAGATTCATACCAACTCCTAAAATACATTTAAAAATGATATTATGTATTTCCTTATTTGAATTAGAATAATTTAAAATAACTAGATAAGAGTTTTAGTACTTTGCATTACTTAAAACTGAATTATTTTGTAAACTAAATGTTGTTTTTAGTAAAACTTCTCAGAAAAACTATTTTGGGTCAAAGAGCAATTACCATTTAAAAATAATTTGTAGTAGTTTAAATATATAGTTAACATTTAAGTAGATACTTAATTTATAAAAGGTAATACTTTCAACTAAAATATGTACGTTAGAAGACACAAAAATTAATATTTCAACGATAAAAAAAAATGCAGTTAAATCTGAAGAGCAATTGGGGCGAAAAAGCGGAACAATGATTATCAAAACCAATATGATCACGGTGAAACTTTGATAAATGTATCTACGGAAATGCAAGCTCCCAGCGACCGAGCAAACCTCTGCAACAAGTGCGGAAAAGGTCAAATAAGGCAAAACGAAAAAGTATCAATACAAAAATTTTTAAAAAATCAAACAAGCAGATTAAAATGTATAAAAAATATTTGGGTGGGGCTCTTATTTAGAGAGTTTTTTGTGACGATCTCTGAAAGAAATCAACATTCTCACGCTGCAGTCACTGTGCAATATGCTATCTGTGATTTATATTTAGAGTTGAAAGTTAAATTGGAAAATAAAAGTTATTTCAGAAAAATTACGGATCTCGATCAAACAAATCTCTTCTCATCTTTTAAAGCTAACTAATTTTTACAATATAAAATTAAAGGCTAACTTATATTGAAACATAATTGTTTATTTATTTTAAATAGTTCTAGCATTCGTAATTGGTAAATTCATTTTTACGCGTAATTATATCAGTAAAGGATCATTTTCATAGACATTAAATTTTACTCATCAATCCGGTTTTCATGAAGCCACACAAGTGGAATTTCTGCACCAAGAAAATGACACTACCAAAAATTAAAATCGTTGTGAAAAATCATCCATCTTTAATAGCATTTATGGAGGTAATCTCTAAGAACGACTATTTTACTGTGAAACAGAGATTGGTCGCCCTGAGTAGGACTGGGCGATATAAGAAATTTTATATCGTGATGCATCGTCAGTTTTGCATCGCGATATAGTATTTTTGAAATTCATTTACTTTTAAGGCGCAGAAATTCGGATTTCTATCAAAACTTCATACTCAGATTGATTTAAATCAATTTATGAATTTGATGTATATGTTTTGCTTAAAAAAGATAATAATGTTATATTTTCTAAAAATGATCCAGCAAATAACGAAAGATTTCTTAGTTTAAAAATAAATAATAAAAAAATAAATAAAATTGAAATTTATCAATATATTTACCTAACAATATAGATAGAAAATTTAAAAAATGGATTCGTTAAAAATTATTTTTGTGCTTAAAACAAAGTGCTAAATAAATTAAACGAAAAAAAAAACAACACTACTTTTTATCATTATTATTACACATAAAAAAAAGTTAAATTGAATAATTACCGAATTCTGAACGAAAAAACAAAGTAAGGTTTAGTTTCTTAAAAATAAAAACAAAGGAATTATGATATTCGATAATATATTCAACTGACAATATTGAAAGAAAATTAAAAAACACGATTATACTCTTTAATAAAATGAAGTGCTAAATGATTTTAAAAAAAGAAGTCGCAATCGCAAACATTACTAATTTTTTTGAATAAACAAAGTTGATTGACTAATGTCCAAATCCAAAAGAGGAAAAATAAGTTTTGTTATAATTTTATTTATGAAAATGAAAACAACTAAAGATATATAAATTTAAACTCAGTAATAAAAACCCATTAAATTATTATTTTCTCCAAAAAGTTTTTAATAAATTAAAATAAAGTAAAAAGTAGCCTAACAAATTTAATTACTTTTCAATTTAATTCTTTATGGGCACCTTAAATTAGGTTTCCGTTTGTAATAAAATCAATAATGTAAAATAATACTTAAACATATAATATCAAAATTAATTTTCACATTTAAAAATAAAAAAGAAAGTTTAGTTTCAAAAAAAAATTTACCCAATTAATTAAGAAGCACTTCTTTCCTATTCTTTTCAATAATAGGTTACGTTCAGAACAAGGTTACGATCACAAAGTCAGTCCCACTGAAAATAATCTACAGGAAACGATATCAAGTCGCAACAAAGAAGAAAAAAAAAACTAAGAGGTGCGGAAACGAACATGCGAGATCGCGATATATGTTCTCAAAACTGATTCTGATTCTATCACATTATGTATTTTTTATTTTTTGGTTCACATCAATCAAGGCCATTTTAATATAACGATACGTACATCGCCTTCCCCAGCGCGAGTTGGCATCGGAACGTAAGAGATCCTTTGCGTGTCTTGTATCGCTATATCGTTCGTCTTCTTTACTCGACGGCTTAAATCAGATTTCTGATGCATCGCCTGGAACTTAACTCCTGTATCGGCCTGCCGATACAGCAGTTAAATCGATATGTCGCGATATATCGATTTATGGCCCAGTCCTACTCCCGAGAGGTTTCACTGTTTGTTCAATTTTATAAGTCATATGTATGGTAACAACTGAATTTTTAGTACGGAATTATTTATAGTTGAGGCAGATGGAACACTGGTGTCCCTTCTATATATTTTTTTTCTGATTCTGACTATAAGCAAAAATATATTTTGATATTTTTTAATTATAAAAAAAACTAGTTTAATAGTCACTAAGAAATCTGTTGGATTATCGTTAAATTATAGATAAATCCAATTTTTTTTAAAAATTCATGTTTAAAAATTAAGGAAATTTCAATGATGTATTGCTGTTTCTCTTAGATGTAAGTAAAAGCAGAGCAAATTTTAATAATTATAATTTTGAAGTAAGCCGTGGAAGATTTTACTTTTAACGCAAAAAAAGAACTCCGGTGTTTTATGTTATATTTCATAACCATAAGTTATTAAAAGGCTAAATACAATAGATATCATTTTTTTTTACCTAAATTAATACAAAATAATGAAAAAGGTCAGGAAAATGTGTTTAATAAAAATTTTGCGTCGAAGGATTAACCATTTAAAGTTAAAATATCAATTTGCACTACTTGTATTAATTATAAATCCCTTACAAAAAACTTAAGGTATTTTGAGGTTTATATGAGGTTGTTTTGAGGTTTCAAGGTTTATTTCAAGCTTGTTTGGAGATGATATCAAAAACAACCTAAAAAAAAATCAATCTCCCAAAGTGCATATGAATTTCTTTAATTCACCTTTGAGGTTGTTGGAAATCTAATTTAGATCAACTAGCTTAGGGAGGCTGTTTTTGAGGTGTACGGATTTTTTTTTGCACTTAAAACAAGTGCGTATATTTGAAGTCTGAATAATTTCACCCGATCTGAACTAAAATTACTTCTGAGCCGTGATAGCTCAGAGGATAGAGCTGTCGCCTTCCAATTAGGTGAACCGGTTGCGAATTCCAGCGATGATTGGTCGATACGAATTCCGCTTCCGGGTTGCACTGACCACAGTTCTGACGTAAAATATCCACAGTTGTAGACGAATCATGGGTTAGAGTCCTCTTGCCGTTAGGCTAACCATGGGAGATTTTCGTGGTTTTCCTCTTCATGCTACGTAAATGAGGGTTAGTTTCATCTAAAAGTCCTCCACAAAGGCAAATTTCTCCCAATACTTGATCATAGAGTTCCCTTGTCTTCTGGATTCAAAATTACAAGACTACGGAGTTCAACATTAGTAGTCA